ATCGCAATTATTCACGTTTTTAAAAATGAAAACCTAATGGAGTTATCAGCGTCGACGAAGAAGAACGTAATAAAGTTGAAAGTTCAATATTTATTATCCACTTAAAAACACTAGATTTATGAATTACAGTTTAAATTCTACTTTTCGTGTGAGCGCATGCTGAATAGATGCAATGTGCATCTTTCCCAATCCGCATTCTTCTTTATCACAGATCTTTTGATTTCCCACGCGAATAGAAACCGAAGACTCAAACCCTTGTTTCTTATTGAAACACAAAATTTCAGTCGAACCAATGCATGTTGTTAGTTCACAATTCAACAAAAATTGTCTTTTTGCAACGAATTGTTAATTAAAACTTCTTCATTACTAATTCCAATATCAAATATTGATTCAGTACGATTTCAATCTACGATTCCGGATATTCCGGTTGAGGAAACATTGAGGATTGGCAAGTGTATTTGAGTGTAACTAATCACGAAATGTTGAAATTGAAACTGGATATGAGCGATTTTGAACTGACGCAACACGTGCACCTCGGACGATAAGTGACTTAGCGGTTTTGGGAAATGACTGAGCTAAGCGTCATCCGGTGTCCTGTTGATCAAGTACCGGTAATGAATATGAGCGATAAGCGTCGCAAACGGAGTTATTACAATGGGAACTGGGGGATGGTTTATCCATCGGGGGTTGCTCAGGTCACAACTCGAACACCCACATCCATCCCCTGTTTTGTCCACACACACACACATACATACTGCAACCCAATACAAATTCGCGCATGCAATTGAAACCGGAGCGAAATTCGCTACAAGCCATAAATTCCCACTTCCGCCACCGAAACATATGTACGCCGATTGTTCCGTGTTTGTCCTATTCGAATCATCGGCAGAAACATCACCGTGTCTCTCCCTCGTGCACATGGAAAACGCTATAGCTCTTTCTCTGTGTTCCACGTTTTTGTGACCCAGTCCTCTATGTCTTTTCAATTTCGAGGCTATTAATTGCACGCGCGTGCCTTAATTGCATATTAAATTCGAGAGTTTTTTCTCTCTCTATATACGCCTTTGATTTATGCCTGCATGGCTTTTTCATTTGTTTCTATGCCTGCTGTTGTCAAACAGTCAGGAAAGGCTGTCTGCAATTTAATTTCATACAGCTCTAATTTACGTTGAACGATATTTTTTACATTTTATTTGTTTTTTTACAATTTAATAAGTACAGTTACAATAGGTATACTATGAGATCTGTAACTATTAGAGTTTTTCAATTTTTCAAAAAAAAAAAAAAAATGCAGTGTCTTCACGTTTCTTTATATTACTCAACAATAAAGTAAGCTAAACATATATATGTATACTCTAATTAAAGGTAAATTAGCAGTCTTTAATTTAAGTGAACTGCCACGTTTATAACTATTGCCAGTTTCTTGTAATACGCTGTCAAATTTTAAACAATGTTTGTTAAAGCAGTGTCTTAACCTTTCTTTATATTACTCAAGAATAAAGTAAGCTAAATACATATATGAATACTCCAATTAAAGGTAAATTAGCAGTCTTTAATTTAAGTGAACTGCCATGTTTATAGCTATTACCTGTTTTTTGTAATACGCTGTCAAATTTTAAACAACGTTTGTTATAGCTGTAAAAAAATGCAGTGTCTTCACGTTTCTTTATATTACTCAACAATAAAGTAAGCTAAACACATATATGAATACTCTAATTAAAGGTAAATTAGCAGTCGTTAATTTAAGTGAACTGCCACGTTTATAGCTATTGCCAGTTTTTTGTAATAAGCTGTCAAATTTTAAACAATGATTGGTAAAGCAGTGTCTTCACCTTTCTTTATATTACTCAAGAATAAAGTAAGCTAAACACATATATAAATACTCTAATTAAAGGCAAATTAGCAGTCTTTAATATAAGTGAACTGCCACGTTTATAGCTATTACCTGTTTTTTGTAATACGCTGTCAAATTTTAAACAACGTTTGTTATAGCTGTAAAAAAAGCAGTGTCTTCACATTTCTTTATATTACTCAACAATAAAGTAAGGTAACCATATATATGTATACTCTAATTAAAGGCAAATTAGCAGTCTTTAATTTAAGTGAACTGACACGTTTATCGCTATTGCCAGTTTCTTGTAATACGCTGTCAAATTTTATACAATGTTTGTTAAAGCAATAAAAAATGCAGTGTCTTCACGTTGCTTTATATTACTCAACAATAAAGTAAGCTAAACATATATATGTATACTCTAATTAAATGCAAATTAGCAGTCTTTAATTTAAGTAAACTGCCACGTTTATATCTAATACCAGTTTTTTGTAATAAGCTGTCAAATTTTAAACAATGTTTGTTAAAGCTATAAAAAATGCAGTGTCTTCACGTTTCTTTATATTACTCAACAATAAAGTAAGCTAAACATATATATGAATACTCAAATTAAAGGCAAATTAGCAGTCTTTAATTTAAGTGACCTGCCACGTTTATAGCTATTGCCAGTTTTTTGTAATAAGCTGTCAAATTTTACTGAAGTAGAAAGTCTTCAGTTGAATGCTGAAGACATCAAGTTGAAAAGCTCCAAAAAGCCGATTTTGAGGAATGTTTTGAAAGATGGCTCTACTGACTTAAGAAATGTATTAAAATAAATGCAAATTATGTAGAGAAATTAAAAATATTAAAATAAAATTGTTATTATTTTGTTCTTTTCCAGCCTACTTAGCGAACTTTTGTTAGACCCCACATATATCCGCCCATAAATTTCATCGTTTCGCTATGTACAAAATTACTTGCAAATATAATTTGATATTTTCAATGAAACAGATTGTTTAATTATCAGTGACCGTGAGAAATTTGCGTTCATCGCAAAGTTAAACAAACAGCCGCCACGCTGCAAACTGAACCGGAAATTAACTTAATTAAGTTCTGCAACATGCTTTTACCTCATTTCTGTGTGTCGTAGCAGTCGTCTCATCCTCGTGTTTCTCTGCTTCTGAACTCAATCATGGCGAAGAGACGATTTCCGGTTCGCGGAATTGATGCAAAAACGAAATGGCTGTGAAACCTTGGATTCGTGTCTCCTTGATTTTTTTTGTATTCGTTTCATGCTGTGCACAAACACCGACGCTCTGTGTTCATTCATTTATTTGCTTGTTTGTCTTTTTTTTCCCTTCTTCTTTGTAAACCCCATTTCAGACTTGAGCGGCAAATGTTTATTTCGCTTTTCCGCCTCGCCGACTTTATTTATCGTGTAGCACAGGTCACACAAAGTATTACAGTTCACCACGTGGTGGTGTGTGTGTGTGTGTGCACCAATTCACGGTCCAGATAGGCCCATTCCATCCTTCCTCTCCGTCGTAAATCTTCATACGCTAAGACTAAAAGCTAGTCAGGGCAAAAGAAAAAACGGACATTATCACGAAGAAGAAAAAGTAAATAGTTCGCTCGGCGATCGTAAACATGAAAATATGTTGTGTCTTGAAAGCATTTTTTATGAGTTAAAGCCTGGATTAAATAATAATTTTTGTCCCATCATTATATATTTGTTTTTTGTTATAAACGTGAAAAGTTAATAATGCGTTCAGATTATATCGAAACAATTGAGGAGGCGCGATCGATGGATGGGGCTCGAGGCGAAAGGATGCTTGATTTTATGAGGATTTGACACTTTCATCTATAGATTGTTCTTTGTGCGAAAACGGGAAAATCTGGGTTGAAAACGTGAGAGATAGAAAAGTGCACACTCCCCTCTTCGTGTTTTATCTTCGCGCGCGCCCTCTTTTCCCATCCAATGCACAATAATTTACTTTTATTTATCGACGCTAAGTTTCATATAAACAGAGCCGTTAACGCCGCTGCAGTTTCCCCTTTAACAACGAAAAGCGAAGATTTTAGTTGGGCCTCATGAAAAATTCAATAAAAGTGCGCTGCAATTATGGTGGATGCGCCTGGCCCGTTATTTTTCGCTCCCGGCAATCTTTAATAAAAATAACAAAGGCCTTGCATAATGCATCCCCGCTCGCTGCGGCCCCCCATTAAAATCGATTCGCACGTTCATAAACCTGCATACTGAGAGATATATTAAAACATCGTTCATACGAACACGAAATTACGCACGAATTATTGAATCAAATGGAACGCAATCTTATGCAGATTGCAGAGCAATCTGCATACCCAAAGCACTGAATAAATCTTCTGGTTGTTGCTGTTACAATCAGTCTTTGGTTTTGCAGTTTTGGGAATAACGCAATTGGGACAATCGAAAATTGAGCTATAAATCGTGAACCGGTTGACCTAATGCCTAATTGCTATTTGGTGGCGTGTAATCGGAGGGCGGAAGAGAAGAGTCGAGACTAATTAATATATTAATTAGCTGGATATTTGCAGCAGTTTTATTGCAAGCTTCTGAAGGGCACTTGAGGCATTTTCGGCTTCAATTAGCGCGTAAATTGGACGCCGGAAACGGGTCTCCTCGACGAATAGAGTGTGGAAGGAGAAGCGGGACTTCGGCGATGATTAAAGACGATCAATTTTCTTGTGATCACCGGCAAATTAAGACATGCAAAACTAATGCTTAGAAAAATCAATTATTATAATAGCTCACGTTTTAGTTGTTTTTTGAAGAAATGATTTGAATACAGAGGAAATTAGTTCAGAAGACTTAATAATTAAATAAATAATTGATAATAAAGCGAATAAATCTACGTTTTTACATACAAAATAATTCATTTTTTGCATTTAGCAATGTTTGTAGCATTTAACTAAAAACTGAAACAATCTGTGTGTATGCATGCGGTTGGCACAATTTCTCTGTAACGAAACTTATATTCTGGCAGCCGCGATGTTTGGAGATTCCGCACGTTAAGTCCATATGGCAAAAACAAGCAGGTCAAACATCATCCCGCTTTTTCCCTTTACATACGTAATTCCCGCATTTAAACAACAAATCAGTTTTAGATTAGTTTCATGTTTTTTAAAAGTATTTTTTTTTTGTTTGTTTCAGAACATTTGAAGGATGGTAGATGGAAACAGCAGTTGTCCGGAGGAGCCGGTGGCTGTGTACAACATCAGCCTAGGCTTCACCGCAGCCGTTCCCGAATGGGAAGCCCTCCTCACCATCTTCACGCTTACCATGATCATAATCCTGACGGTGATCGGTAACATTTTAGTTATCCTGAGCGTCTTCACGCATAAACCTCTGAGGATTGTACAGAACTTCTTCATCGTATCTCTGGCTGTAGCTGATCTCACCGTGGCCATCCTCGTGCTGCCATTAAACGTAGCGTACTCGATCTTAGGAAGATGGGTTTTCGGTATTCACGTCTGCAAGATGTGGTTAACATCAGATGTAATGTGCTGCACTGCATCGATCCTCAATTTGTGTGCAATAGCTTTAGATAGATTTTGGGCTATAACGGATCCCATAAACTACGCGCAAAAGAGAACTTTGAAGAGAGTTCTTTTGATGATAGCCGGAGTTTGGATTCTCTCATTGATAATAAGCTCACCGCCTTTGATCGGTTGGAACGATTGGCCCGAGCCGGACGTGTTCGAAAAGGAGAGCATCTGCAAACTAACGGAACGACAAGGCTACGTTATTTATTCCTCGCTGGGATCTTTCTTCATTCCTCTCTTCATCATGACCATAGTTTACGTGCAGATCTTCATAGCAACCAGAAGACGGTTGCGGGAAAGGGCGCAGGCTTCGAAGATAAGCGCGATCTTATCGAAGAATCCGGTGAAGAGCAGCAACAAGCATCAGAATCAGGATAGGGAATCGGTGAGCAGCGAAACCAACCACAACGAGACGGAACACGCGATTAACAAGAGCAAGGATAAGAGGGCGAGGAAAGCGAAGAAGAAACGGAAAAGCGAGAACGAAAACAACGAGAAATCCATCTACCTGAAACCTGTACTTGTTAGGGAGGATTCCTTCACCGACAACGCCGATTGCTCTTCCGGATCGCAGCGAAAGAACTCGTTGAACCCGTGCACTTCCGATAAAGACGTAATCCCGAACACCACGAGCACCTCGGTGAAATCCGAGTCGCCGCAATCGAAAATCGTAAGCTGCAAACCAACGCCGCCGCCGGAGATCATCCCGAAGAAACCGGGAGTCGTGTACCAGTTCATCGAAGAGAAGCAGAGGATTTCCTTATCCAAAGAACGCAGAGCCGCTCGAACTTTGGGCATCATAATGGGCGTTTTCGTCGTCTGCTGGCTCCCATTCTTCTTGATGTACGTCATAAATCCGTTCTGCTCGAGCTGCTGTCCTTCCGGCCGCTTGATCAACTTCATAACGTGGCTGGGATACATCAATTCCGCACTGAACCCCATAATCTACACCATCTTCAATTTGGATTTCAGAAGAGCTTTCAAGAAACTACTCGGAATGCGACCTTAAACATTTCACTTAATCTTTAGTTTCAAGACTGATCACTAGTGTGTTTTTATTTATTTAAATTATTTATAATAAACATACACAAAGTAAACAAAACAAAAACAAACAAAAAAACACGAAAACTACATTGTAAATACGACCTGTAATTAATTTGTAAGTTTGTTTTAAGTCGAATTATAAGAATAACGACATTCCAATTAAGAAAAGAAAAAAAAAACGTTTAAGCACAAACAAATTTGTAATTTAGTAATCCGGTTTCTTAGCATTACTGAGCCCAATGTTAAGAAACCGAAAACGAATTAAGAATACTTAAGTAAAAAAAAATATGAAATTAGACGATTAAGACTCTTTAGCGTGTTTAATTTAATTGGATATATATACTTAAGTGTACGTACTTGTAAGGTTACTTATTGGATAGGATATTAAGGCATTGATATTCGTAGTTTGTATTAAACACTAAGGAGTAACGATGTTTCTGTTTTTCGTTCAATTTATTTTTATTTTTTATATATATTCGTATTTACATGATTATTTCGCAACTTTTTATCGACGAATTATATAAATAAATATATATATATTCAATGTTATTTGCTCAAATGATTGAACGATGTGGGGAACGAAGATGATGTACAGATTTTAAATGGTGATGATTGTAATGGAAATGCGGAGCGACGTTTATTTTCTATTGTAGACACTTGTTGGATATTTTATGTAAATAAATAAATAAATCATGTTTTCTTATTTAACATCATTTTTCGTTTGTTTTAAACTTTATCCTTAAAAAACTTAATTAAGGTAAGTATTGTAATTGAAATGCTTAGATCATTAATTGAAACAGTGTAAAATGTATGTAGATTCAGTTCAATTTTGTGGAGGGAAAAAATCTCAGAGAAAACTGTATAGGACCTAAACAAATAGAGCTGTCCTAGTGACGTTCGGCCCATCAATCCATCTCCATAAACACGGACATGATGAAAAGCAAATATTGGTGGTCGGTTTTTGCGCACGAGGAGGGTTGACTTTCCAAAATTCGCAATTTCAATATCGTGTACTAATTATCTGTTCCTGTCGTTCAACATGCAACTCGTGTTTGTTCAGTATTCATTTGTTTAATAAATTCAGTTGTTTATATATACTATTTTGTTTCGTACTATATTCATTTGATTTATATTCAATTGTTTATTCAAATGTTTTGATCATTGCGAAATGATCGATGCGAACGCAAATAATAGGCGAAAAGCAAAATGTTTCCGCTTGATACGAGTAATAAATCAAACAGAGTTTTGTATGGTGTCAACGAGAGATGAATGCGATTTATTATATGTTTATAAAAATAAACGAAAAACAGGCGAGTTTGAAAGAAGCGCAAAATAAAAGAGAGAGATCGAAGACAACTTTGCGTCTATTTAAATAAGATCCTATGCGCCTCGCAGTAGACTTCAAAAGGGATGAAATATTTCCATGATTTATGAACGCATCTTCTGATACCTTTTAACGTTTTTTTCTTCTCTTTCGCGTTGCAAGCAAAGGCTAATTGGATTATTTTGCGGTTGGAAATTTGATGTAATTTTCGAAACCGAACAATTTCGAGAAATACTTGCGGACGAAGTTCGGATCATTAGCAAGTTACCTAGGAACTTTAAAGTTTCAGATGTGATGGTTTGTGATGTGTCCCCGGGAATCCTTCGTCGTCATTCCTTTAGCTAAAATAATTATTTCGCACCTACAGTGCGAATTGCCTTCGTAACCGGTCACCCTCGTTCTCCCTCTTCTCGCATTCATCCCTTCGATCGTTATTATCATTCGCAGCCTCGAGGTATGCAGGTACGAGCCTATTGGTCTCATTTTGCGAATTCCACGTCTTCGCTAAAGCGAAACAACATTTTGGAGAAAAACTGCAGAGTTGGAGAAACACTATTTTCGACTTGCAATTCTCTAATAAACTTAGTTTTTGTATATTCACATACAATTTATTTAATAAGACTTTAGAATGTTTCAATACTTACAATTATTGGTAGAAATTTTGTCGAATAAGGTAAAATAATTAAAATTTTAAGTAAATCAAGTTGGAGAAAGTAAATTTCAATAAAAAAATAGATTTTTATTTATAAATTCAACGCTTTAATTATTATTTAGAAATTATGAAAGTACGAAAAATTCTAATTTGGAAAAACAGAATTTCGACTTAAAAAATCAATTTTCAGTACGTTATACAAATTTAATCTTTTCAATAAAACAAATTTTATAACGATTAATTACTTTGATTTTATAAAACTATATAGAAAATTAATTATTTAATGTGAAATTATGAAAATATATAAAAATTTCAAGTTCAACAAAGCAAATTTTCAAATGCAAAGAAATTCATTTTACAATAGTTTTCATATTTTTTTTTATAAGATTTTCGATTTGATTAAACTGAAAATAGTTCTTTTATTTAAATTTAAAAATTTCTATTAATCGATTTGCAAAACACACAATTTTTAACGTATTAAGTTTTTCGTCAATTTCTTTAAAACCATACAAGCTAATTACATCATCTTTTACTTTAATTAAAGCTGAAAGTTTCACTTTTCTAACGAGCGCTTTTTTTAAAAAAATCTTCTATATAATTACTGTGTTTTTATTTTACTAATGTATTAGAAATGTTTTGTCGTGTCCCGGGATTCAAATATCTCTGGACACTATGGAATATCTCGTAGTTGTAGTTGTATTTTGTTAAATAAGGTAAAATAATTAAAATTTTAACTAAAAGAAGTTGGAGAAAGTAAATTTACAAATTCAACCCATTAATTATTTATTTAACGAGAAATTATGAAAGTATGAAAAATTCTAATTTGGAAAAACAGAATTTCGACTTAAAAAAAAAACAATTTTCAGTATGTTATACAAATTCAATCAATTTATAGCGATTAATTACTTTGATTTTATAAAACTATATAGAAAATTAATTATGTAATGTGAAATTATGAAAATTTATAAAAATTACAAGTTGGACAAAGCAAATTTTCAAATGCAAAGAAATTCATTTTTCAATAGTTTTCATATTTTTTTTATAAGATTTTCGATTTGATTAAACTGAAAACAGTTTTTAATTTAAATTTAAAAATTTCTATTAATCGATTTGCAAAACACACAATTTTTAACGTATTAAGTCAATTTCTTTAAAACCATACAAGCTAATTACATCATCTTACACTTTAATTAAAGCTGAAAGTTTCACTTTTCTAACGAGCGCACTGGTAGCTTCTTTACAAAAATTGTCTATATAATTACTGTGTTTTTATTTTACTAATGTATTAGAAATGTTTTGTCGTGTCCCGGGATTCAAATATCTTTGGACACTATGGAATATCTCGTAGTTGTAGTTGTATTTTGTTA